GGAGGGTATCTCTCAGCACCGAGGAAAGGCTCATCTCGGGGATCGAGGGAGGTTGCCGACCGAGGTACATATCTGACCGAGGACACGTGTCAGTTGTAAAACATACTGAATATATGATCCTATATGACGGTACCTCGGGGGGAGGACATTCGTGCGCCGATGGTGCTTGATCTTAGCAACAGTGCTTTAGTAGAACCGGGGACACGTGTCTTCATCATAGGGTATCTCAGAAAAGTCCCATCAGAGAGTTAAGGTGAAAGAGGGTCACCTTGCCTGAGACCTCTTTTAAGTTTAATAGGTTCTAAAGGGGAACCATTCCAGAGAATGTTAAGGGTAGATCCAGTGACACGGTTCATAATTTAATATACCCAGCTGGTGGGAAAATTGAAGGCTATAAGTGTTTGGTGGAGGAAGGACCAACTGAGTTTCTCATAAGCTTTTTCAAAATCTATCTTTAAAATCATGTCCCCAGTTTGACCTTTTTTATTTCTTAGAAAGTATGCAATCTCTTGGGTGATGATAATATTGCTAATGGGTCTGAACTGAGACACCATTGTGGGATTCTCAATTTTGGGCCTTTTGAATGCCCTCAAGCTTTGCCAAAATATGCCTTTTAAAGATAGATTTTGTTCCATTCCTGAGCATCAAGGGCTAGAGTCTTAGTTGCTTCCAGGAGAGAGTTACTAGATTTTTTGCCAAGCAAGAGAAACTTCTTCTTTAAAGTTTTCATTCATAGTCCATGCTACTTCAAGACGAAATGGCTTAGCAGTAGTAGGGTTTCGTGATATGCCCGAACAGTGAATAAACAGAGGACAATGACCCGAACTTGTTTTGGGGAGGTTTTGTACCCTGGCTTCTAGGAAAGTACGAATGAAGTTGTCCATTCAGCATTTGCCAGTGCTCTGTCAAGTCGCAGGAGGGTTTGGGTTTTCCATTGGATAGCAAAATTTTAAACAAATAAATAAAAAAAGAAACACAAGGCCACACATGATTATTTTTTGCACTTAAACAAATTCAACTAATATTTTTTTATTAAATTATAAAAATATGAATTATATATGTAATCAAATTACATAATAAATCAGGCGTCGGAGAATTAATACTTAAATTCAAATTTGCTAAACTTAGTTATTGATCTATTCTAATCCATATTTGAGTACCGAATCGGCCATTAATTTAGTTAGACATCTCTCACAAAAAAAAAAAAAGGATATTCGAAAATAATTTCATTAAAAATTCTTAGTTTGTCACTAATATATGTGATTGACACAAATTAAACTCAAGGTACATTTTGATTATCTACACCATCCAAAGCTTCCCATATGTTATTCCTCATGAAAGACATTTCTTTTTCGATTTATTGACACTCTTAAATGCAAAATCTCAAAGCCTGCAAACATCTTTCTAACATCCATTGCCTATGTTGCTATAATAATCATACCACAGTACGTTAAAGTATAAGATGGAGTTAAGTAGTAGCTGCAACAAGGCCAATCTTTTTGTGCGCATGCATGATTGATATGGATGGAAAGATTAATTTCGGAACCATATTGAAATTTATAATTTTTAATGTAAAAATTACAACTACAAAAAGGTGTAATCAACCTTAAAATGTTAAGATCGATCATAAAAAACATAATTTCTATAGATATAGTTACAATTTTTAAGAATCGAGTTATAATTTTTATAGGCCAAGTTACAACTGATTAAATGGTGTTCATGATCGATCATTTATTACCTTAAGAAATTATAAGTTTATTTTTAAAAAATGTAACTTAACATCAAAAAATATTAACTTTCGATACAGTATCAATTTTAGCATTACCCTAAATATGTAACGTTATTCAAAGTAAATACCAGTCTATAGTTGACCAATATTGCCAAAAATAGGGCCCATATTCAAGAGGTTGACATGAGCCTGCAAATATCCAGCTTAGCATAAGACGCAAAAAAGTCTCGAAAAATAAAGCTGACTTTGAAACTAAAGTAAAATGGAAAACTGTTTTGGAGCTAAGTAGGTTTGTGAAATCCACTAATGAAAGATTCTTGATACCAAAGAAAAGTGAGAAAATCTCCTCAATAGAGCCTTGACAAAGCCAGGAGAGCCAATAATTATGGCTACCCATGCTAATACAATCTTTTTGTCTTTTCATTATATAGAGCATGTATTCCTTGATATGGACGGATTTGTATATAGAGCATATGTTATTTGCTTTATCATGATCGGTCCTAATTTGTGTATGATGTCATACCATGTGACGGATTGGTTTACAGCATGATCGGTCATGCTTTATCATGGCCGATTTTGATTGGTAAAGCAATAAAAATGACCAATCAGGATCGGTCATGATAACGTATGACATATCTTGATTTTTATACGGGATCAATCAAGTTTGGTTATGTTTTATTATGACCGGTCTTAATTAGGATCAATTAGTGGTTATCTAAACCCAAACTCTAACCCGACAAACCCCCAATCCTTTAATTAACCTTTTAATATTACATAGATTAAGGTGCACATTTGGTGAAAGAGTTGATTGTTATTTATTGCACCCAATAAGACGAGCACAGTACCAAACAAAGAGAAGATCGCTCCTCGTCCATTCGGAAAGATTGAGCTCATCAGAGAGGGCCGGAACTGGTTAGTTGGCATTCTACTACCAACAAGCAGCAAACTCCTTGCGACTCTAATGGATCAAAACCCAAAAATAAATACCATCACCAAAGTTTTCATGCACAGAAGGGAACGTTAGGGTCATTTTTACGAAATAGCTAGAGAATAGGGTTATCAAGATACTTTATGTAATAATTGCCTCAACTACTAAAGACAATAAACATTTGCGATTCTGTATCTATCACAGGAAGATATCCTATAACATGATGAATTTTTATGTACTTGAGTATATTTTTGATGAGATAAGGTGAAAAGAGCTTAAACCTCGAGAGGGCAACGAACTAGGGCAGTACTGTTGAAAAAGTTTGGGCTTTACGTCCATTTTTAAGAAGGTCTCAAATTTTTAAGCAATGTTATACTGACCAAATTATTTACCAAATTTTATAACTCAAATCAATGTAAGTGGTTAGATTAGTGAGATTCATTAACTCTACAAAATATTCAATACGTAGGATTTTGACACATCACTTGGGATACAAGATTTGATAAACATATTTTGACAGCAGAGTTTTATACATATTTTAAGCCCTATAAAAAAGTGTTATAAAAAATATTTGAGATTGCACTCAATCAATCCCCATAAATATGGCCATATAGTTATGACTTGAGATGCAAAAAATTTAAGATAAATTGATAAATTTGGGTGGTTTAAACTTTGTTATCCCTTATTATATAGTTCTAGATTCGACTAAAAATGTTTTATTTATGATATGAATCCATCACATGTAATTGACTACATATTTCAAGTATAAATGAATTGGTTGAATAAATTTTTCACAACCAACCCTAACTATAAATATTACATTGTAGGTTATTGTATTCGAAATTAATTGGATCAGACTGCAGAATCGATTGGGACATCGTTCAAAAAATAAGTGTACGTGTATATATGCCAGGAAGTGTGCTAAATGTCAGATGAGATGAAAACAACAATATGAATGGTTTACTCTAGCCGAAGGATTGGGATTACGTCCACTATAAAGGAGACTCTCACTTCTTGGGAATTGTATTGCTTAGGGAAAAAGATTGCTACTACAAGATATTGCTTTGGCTAGAAGCCTTTTACAAAGTATTGCCTAGGTCTGCTAGGTAGTTTTTCTCCTATCTATCTATGTGGTATTGTTAGCTATTTATACATCCGGTCGGTAGGGTTTTGTGGTGATTCTTTTATTGGCTTATTTTGTAGCCCCCTCTATGCTTGTCATGTTGTTGGATCTACTATTTCTGATGCTTGTCTGTGTCCACTACGCATTGTCTGGAATACGTGAACCATCTCCACTACCAGTAAATATTCGTTTATCAAGATTGTCAAGTATTGTTCCCTTGTCCCCTATTCACGTATCATGTTGCAGCTCTTGCAAATAGTCTGGTGTCGTACTCCCATTTTCCGAGCTGATACCTATACCGAGTTTCCCGATGTCAAGCTGCCACCAATATCAAGTTGGTTTGTTGTGGGCTTCTATGGAGCTGGGCTGCAGTCCAGTTCAAACCTAATAAATGCTATTTGGATGAGGCACTTAGGTCGTCTTAAGTGTGCCCAAAAGGTTTTGGGCTCTGGAGGAAACCAAGATTTAAATCCATCATCATCAGTAAAATATATTGATAACCTTATATTCGCCAACCTTTTTTTTTCCCCAAACTTGAATTTCGTTTAATATATTTTTTCTTAATTTTTGTTAATGATCTACTTATTAAGAAAAATTGAAAAAAATATATAATTTACTAGAGAGACACAGATTCCATTTCTTTCCCAAGCTTTCGTATTTCTCAAAGATAAGACCTTGAGAAGTTGCAAAGTCAGGATGAGGCCATTCCATCGAGTTGATCAAGCTTCTTAGTGATGTGCTTTTATTTTTACGACACGAAAAACTTTTTATAACTTTTCACTTCAATATTAAAACTATCACCGAAAATGAATGATAAAAAAAAAAGATTAAAACTTGTAGCCAATTACAGGGGTTGGGCTTATCATATCTTTTGATATGAATGACTTTATATTCATAATATTATTATCAATATGTATCAAATCACTAGTTCTCGTTGATGTTTTACTTCTTAAAATAATTGATAAAGCAAGAATAAGTCGGTGGTATATGAAAAAGCCCATTGGTGGCTCAAAATTCCAGAAATTGGGGATGATTGACGCTGTGACAATTTCCAACTGCGTGGTCATAAATTCGAGTCTCCAGCGTGTTTTATGTTTCTATAATATATATTATAGAAACCTAATTATTGTAATTTAGCCCTTACACAGACCAGACAAGCTTACAGAACCACCTACTGTGTGTGAAGATGCAACAATTGCATTCTGATAAGCACAAAGTCACATGATATAAAACACTTGTTTTTCCAACTTTGAACAGAGTATTGTAACAATAATGAAGACCTAAGAAACAACTACTATAGCAAACCTCAGACCATGATGTGAACCTGCTATCAAATTCCTAAAATTATATACAACTTGAGCTTTCTACTGGGAACATTACTTCGTAGTCGATCTCTACGAAGCAGCGTTCCTACGATGTCAGAACAGTTCCAAACAAATTCAAGGTCGTTTGAGAACTTGTTTCCCAATCTTCGTATCAAGGCCTCCAACCTCTTCTACCAGAAGGTTGGGATGGAAGTTTGACATCAGCTGAACTGGAAAGAGGCCTAAAGAGTGGTTTAGAATTGAACCTCATTAACAGATTCGGACCACTTGGAAACGGTTTGTGTTGTGGTGCCTTCATATTTGTCGATGTTGGACAATGAAATGCACGAGGGAATGCTTGGGAGGAAAATGGTGGACGTGTTGCAGTTGTGGATGGAGATGAGAGTAGAGGTCGTCGAGGGCCTGGAGATATGTTTTGGAAAACTGAGATGGATATTTCAGAGGAAAAAGCTGCTGATGGTTTGATTTCTTCTCCCAGTGATATCTTGTGGGGGTCTGGGGGGCACCATTCAGGCATGTCATCATCATCATCGAAAAGATTCTTCTTCTGAGGCAATTCATTAAATGAATCCTTTGATGAGGCCAATGCAGCAGCACTTACTGATGTTGGAGTCACTTTGCTTTGGACACCCACATTGTCTTGCAAATTGCGGAAAGCAGGGATCTGGGACTCACGCTCACTAACCCCTTTCGGTGGAGGCATTCCTTGGCTGGTAACTGAAGGAATCCTGGAAAGGATAGAACTATCCAATCTTTCTCTGGAAACAGGAATCGACTGTACAACAGGCATACTTGGCGGTCCTGATGCATTAATATTCTTAATTCCTTCATCTGGAAGTTGTTTGCCAAGCATAGCAGCATCCAAAGGCTTGCTCCTTGGAGTTAGAGAAATCCCACATGCAGTATTGAAGTCAAATTCAGGCAGATCATCATCATCAGTGGGCATTGTTGGTTTCCGTACATCAGATGGGAGAGAAATGACTGTTTGCTTGAGTTCCAAACTTGGTTTAAGTTGCTCTGCTCCTGAACAGTGGATAGGAGTAGCTTCAACTTCCAACAGGTGCCCACGGGTAGCTTGACGAGGTGAGTGAGATTGTGCGGAGGTTTGTCGCTCCATTGGAACATAAGAGGACTTGCTGGGGACCGAAGAAGTTGGCGAGGAATTAACGCCAGAGGAAAAATTACGTACATCAATGTGGGTTTCACTAGCCTCAATATTCTTGTTTGCAGCAACATTCCCCTCTGCACTTCCAAGAGATGGAACATATGTTACTGGTGCAAGGGGAAGGGATTCCTGAGTTGGTGGGCCAGGAGACAAACTTTTTTCTGCCACTTGCTGGGTGGAAGAGTCAGAAGGGGATTTCAAAGGCTGCTCTGGCAAGGAGTTGTCCTTAATCTCAGATGTTTTTGCACCAGTATTCGAAGAGGTTCGATTTTTCCGCCACACCACACAACCAATCAATGAGTCTTGGTTGTCTTCAACAGCTGTCATGCCCTTGAAGAAACCATATTTTGCAAGAATTGTGATAATGGCTTCGCTCCGAGGACAGATATATAAATCAACACCCGGTGCAAGTTGTGCAAACCCAACCCTCTTCCCTTTCTGGTATCCTTTCGCAACCTGATAATGTGAACATGAAGTACAAATTTAAGTATGATATACTAGACAGGACAATCAGTATTTGCATAATCATTTTGTACGAAGAGTCCTAATGCTGCTAATTTTAATATTCAATTAATTTACACTCACTTCTTTCATGCCCTCAAGTCCAGTTGCAGAAGATCCCTCCTTCCAGCAAAGTGAAATTACCTGAAGAAAACGTCCGTATAATCATTTAGCACTTGGATTCAGAACAGAGCTTTTTTAAAAGTTTGCAACAGCCCTAAAAACTTCATCTGTGCATAAAATTTTCAAGAGTCACAACAAGCATAAAATTTTTCAAGAGTCGCAACACTTATGACATGGACAGTTTCACAAGTTAAAGCATGCCTCCTACTCAGAAGTTGCATTACAAGTAAAATCTGACAGAAGGATTTTCCAAAATAAGCATCCTGACATTCATCACCTACCACACAAAACTTGGTGTTACAAAATTGGCTCTTGTAGAAAGATATCATTGTCCTCTGTCAAAATTGACAATAGCAAGTTCCATAGTCTCTTATGCCAGCTCATTGCATCGCCATTTTCACCAAACAAACAATGATTTCACAGAGATTCTTTATTCCCTGACTACACGATATGAGCAAAAAGGTTTACATTTTTTTCCAGGCTACCTTCAAAAACTAATCTGCTTTCCTCCATTTAATCCAAATTACAATTGGTTGCTTTGGATATTCAGCATCACCTCATCAAAATTTCCAATGACATTATGCAACGAAGGATCAAGAGCCTCAACAGGAAGAAAAACTATACCAACAATAGTCAGGATTCACAAACTCCATTTCAAATAAATCCTCAGTTAAGAATGATATGAATCCTTTCCAAAAGAAGCATCAGCTCAGAAAAATTCCCCTGCACACCTACATATCCTATTCATGGCAAGCTTTTGGCAGGAATGATCAGACTGCTTAAAAGAAGGTGGCATTCTTGGGGAGCATCTTGTAAAGCCAAAGAGCCCCCACAACAAGATACAACTGCTGGGAAGGCCTTTGCCTTAAAATTTCCATTACCCCAACTCATAGAGAAGCATTGTGAACAAAAAAATCAATATTTGCAATATAATCTGTCTCACTCTCTCTCTCTCTCTCTCTCTCTCTCTAGGTGCTTCTAGGGCTAGATTGGTTAAATATCAGCCACTGCAAGATAAATAAAATATACCAAAACTTACGCCAGCTTCCACAAGCAACCCCTTAATCTAAATCTTACACAATGCAATTTGGCATTAGAATGCTTAAGAAACTATCCCAAATTGGTAGCACAATAGGTTAAAATCGAATATGCTCAACATTTAGAGTGCATACTATAAAATCCCAAGTCCTCCAACTGAAATCAGATTCAACATATCATACCAAATTTCCAAATCCAACCACATATGCAAGTTTGCCATCTGCGTTCCCAAATTGGCAAGATAACATTGGCCTGGAGATGCTGCTAACATTTATAGCTCAATAAATTTACTCAACTATTCTCTACAATGTTGTCTGACATCTCTTTGTTCCCAAGATTATCAACAATCATTCTTTCTTCTCACAATTAGAACCTCATGATCTTGTTTTCAGCTGCTTCATATCGATGACAAAGCAGGCAAAAAAGTTCTATTAAAAGTCATGGGCATGCCTCAGACCCTTTAGGCAGCTAAGGCCTTCAGCAGTTTCACACTAGGCAAGGAGGTGAAAGCCAATAAGAATCAGCCTTTTTCATACGAATAAGATGAACTTCTCCAGAAAGCACTAACACGTCATCTAAACTACATTTTACCCTCATGTCTGGTTAATATAGCAGTTCACACACTAGCCTACAAATCAGTTATCAACTACCTGTCCTATCATATTGCATTTAGTAACAAGTCTTAAAAAGTTCATGAATGCTTACATCTTTGACTTTGGAACTGGCCCTAATATGTTCTAATTAATTCTTGTTCCACATCTTAGAGGCATCATATCCTTTCATCCCTTTATGACCTTAGTTTTGGAACTTATGATTTTATGCAGCACACTGTTACTATGAACTTTTAAGACATTTCATTTCTCCTTTTTCCAATGTACCAACCATCATTTTCTGTTGGATCATAAGAGAAATTGCTGTCATACACATTAGCCTTCTTTTGTGGCCATGTCCAAACCTTCACCTCCATTATGCATGCTAGCTTTTCCCTGTGGGAGAGTTCATGATGCACATCATCTGTGATCTTTCCTCAGCAGGACTATGATCAGAAATCAATTATATTGGTGAATACGATAAGTGAAATGGCATCTTGAGCACAAACTATGAAATTGAGAGGAACTTTTGTATAGAAGAAACCATATTGCGACCAGATTGAAAAACATAACTGAAGGGCATCAATTAGGACTTGGTTCTCATAATCATAAGAAATGAGTTAAGACTAATTAAGTTATGGGTGTTCTCCATCACAAAATGAGATGTTTTCAGAATGGCAATGAGTCACATTTCTATTTATGTTTTAACCCTTTAAAAAAAATGATTTTCAAGTTAAAAATATATATGACAACCGAAAAGAATTAACTGAAATTTTAAGGGAATTTCTTTTGAAAAATGGAGCAACTACATTGGTGCAAGCAAATACCCGAATAATACCATGATAACTTGAGATTGGACATCATTTCCCAAATAAACTTTATTAACTTCACTTACAAAGCTATATTATGAAGTCTAGAATTGATTTATTCATTTTCTTTCACGAGAAGCATTTGTCGAGTTCAATATGTAAGCAAGAAAGTTGATTGGATTGCTTCAGACTATTTGATCAACTAGATTGCCAGGATGAAATTGATGCATTGTTGGAAGAAGATTAGCATAGAATTTTGGTTTGCATCTGGACTAATTGGTGCTATAAATGGGATCAGGCTTAGATGACAAACATGGACTTGTTTTAGAAGCAGTAGTAAGATAGCCCTACATATTTTGCAAAGCTTTGCAGGATAAGGGTCATTATTCACTTTCTTAATTAACAGTAAAGTACTGTCTGTCAAGTGCAATTTTGTGGTTAAAATATGAGAGCAGTTATTTGGTTCACAAATGTCATATGTTAGGTTTGTAGTTAGTTTACCCCCTTTCAATGTCTTGTGTAAGTGGAATCACACAGGAATTATCTTTTCGTGCTACCAGATTCAGATGTAGAGTCCTATATTCATGACAGCAAAATTTTGTCTTCGCTAGTGGAATATTATATGTGAACTCATTTTACCTCCAGATGAGGAACTATGCACTCTTTTCCTTCGAAGGCTGCGTGGACAGGTTTTCTTTTTTTTTTTTTTTTTTTAATTTACCTCAAAATTTTCGTACGTACAACAGTTCTGGAAGCCATCTTGATCGCAGGAAAAATTGGAGATGAAGTAAGAGAAAATCTATCTAAATTGGTGTAATTTGTGCAAGGGAGCAGAAAAGTATGGGAGTTAGTTATTGCCTGATTGTGGTGTGACCATAGTTGTTAATATCGTACAATACACGATAGGTATTGTACAATACGCTTCGATACATGAAGAAAACGATACGTATCGCTTAAGTTCATTGGATTTGCACCGTATTGTACAATACAATAAGATGATACATATGAGTCATACGATACGAGGGAAACATATCAATTTTTATTTTTATTTTTGAATTTTAACCGGAAAACATTGCCTATTCACATGGAAGTATATTTTTTAAACACTAGATAGTAAAATGACATTGTTTCAATTTCTAGGGTCTAAAAAGTAAAAGTCTTCTTTTGTTATTCCTTCCATCGCAAGTGCAAATAATTTGATTGTTAAAAATGTCCTTTTCTGGCTCCTCTAGATGTTAGAACTAGAACTCTCAAAATTTTGATATTGATGTTATGTTAGTAACTTTAATACTTAGATTGGTTATTTTATTGTTTTAATCCTTGTAGTCTCTTTAAATTAGTTTATGTGAGAAATTGGTGGTGCAATGAAATGTTATTATGACCTTTTTCATAGGTATTTGTATTTTTAAAATCTTTTTATAACATTGTACGTATCTTACAATATATAATATGTAATACACGATTTTGAAAAACAATACACCTTTTGATACACGTTTTGACAACCTTGGATGTGGCTTCTATAATTTTGCTTCTTTTCAATTACCAAGTTATGATTTAATTGGGACAAGCCTAATGGAATTATGTTCCATCTGGTGTATATGGTGAGAAGTAATAGGTTGGTCTTCTACAGTGTGGAAAATCTAAAGTTAATAAGGTGCAATGATTGCCTTTTTTTGCTTGATGGTATCCGTTATGTTGTTTTCCCCAAGTACATAGTCAATACATCTGTTTTGATTTTGGCTGAAATCTTTAAGAGCATGTGGTTATGTGTACACCATTGATGCCTTGAATACACCAAGTGTACTTACATTGAAACCCCTTTGTTTGGCACCTATAAATGGATTAATTTGGCAAGAAAATAAAAAATATTAGGGTGCAGCTAGGTCGATGGTAAATTCCAATTGTTATAGAAGAAATATGATGTTTCCCAACGTTACAGTTTTTATCAAGCATACAGAAGTGAAATTAAGTTTGGAGGCCAACACATTGGCCTACAATGAACACCTGGTTTACCTCTGTAGTTGAATATTAATCCTTTATAAGCACCGGTATGTTTTATTTTCAATTACTTGGCATTAAAATTCCCGTGATAATGAAATACAACTTGAGATTTTTTAGGCTTACTCTCACTCAAAGAGATGGCAATTAAATATATTGAGGATTTTTAGTGAACCATCACCAGCATGAACTTTGATTTGGATTAGTTGATGATACAAATTGGAAAAAAAGAAAGAAAACTCTACGTACCATATTTCCCCTAGCCTAGTACATCTGCTTAATGTTTTCTTGCAATGTAATCCCTAGTTTTCATTTCTTGAAAAGAAAAACAGAAAAATCATAAATAGAATTCACTTGTGGATGATGAAGCAAGATTTGTAATAAGACTCTCTTTGGTCCTTTCTCTTTTTAATTCAACATTGTCTAAAACAGGTTACTGGGAGTTCATCTTGTTGAATTATGTAAATATTTGTGTTTCTTACTCTTATAGGTTAGTTGGTTGTTCAAGATGATACAATTACATGAGATCTTGTGTTCAAATCTCGTCGCTGATAATTAAAGACTTGCACATGCTTGATCCAAAACCTAGCTTTCACTTGAGAAGGCACGTGGAAGTATACAAATACTTACATTGCATCCTCTCTAGTAGCTTAAGTTTAAAATAGTTTGTGGTTCACCAGATTTATCGTATTCTTTAAGTAGTATATTTGATTTATAGCAGATAATTTAAATGAGATTCAAACCCTAAGCTATGTATACAACATCCAATTGCTTAAACTGCTTAGAAAAGTATTTCATGCTGTAGGCTTATGGTAACCTTCTTGAATGTGCTAAATTTGCTAGTGTACTATTAGCTTTTCTTCTCAACAAAAAGTATGACTGCACGGAAATTATGTTTTATTTTGAACGTGTGATCAGTATACAGAACTCATCCCTCTTTGTAGTAGTTCATTTGTAATTTTGAAGTGGATATGACCACTTATACTTGTATTGACCGACAAACTTGTATTGATCTTCAATCTCTGTAAATTTAAGTTTCAGAATCTTCAACATATTTTAGCTTTTCAAAGGAGTTGATACTTCCTCTAAATTAGCATATTAAATTATGATCAGGTTTTGCAATGAGGGCCAACCATCTATATTTGCATAGAATGAAAGAAAGAAAGAAAAGAAATAAGTAATGATACCAAAAGTTAATGCCGTTGAATACAGGCAATGTGGGAATGTGCACCAGCTTTTGAGAGGTTCATACGCTATACAGTTATGAAGTACACATCCGAAAAAGATTAATATATGTGTTCAAAGCTTTCTTACAAATTTGTGCAGATCCATTTGTTGCTTCTTGCAGTTCCTACCAATTA